GTTATGGGGGGAAAAAAGAGGAACAAATGTAATAATCTGAACAATAAAGATTTAATTTAAAAAAAAAAAAGCACCAGAAGGTAGAGAACTCAGAAAGGATGTGATATCTTTCCACCTCTCCATTCTGGTCCTCCACCGAGGCTCTGAAAATCTTCAGCAAGAATGAAACCCGAGATCTAACATTAGTTATAGTGCTCCCAATGCCCACATCCATTGCCCTAGGGACTGCAAACAGAAGAGGAATGAATGGACACATGACTTCCAGTAACACTGGGTAAGATAAAATAGAACGGGCGGAACCACGTGCTTAGCTATTGCCATTATCTACCAAACTTGGAATCATCAACTCTCTGGTAAGCTGTCTTTCCTCTTCGAAAAAGTGATTGATGAAGAAAAAAATCAAGCACAGTGATATCCATGAAGGGAGGATGCTGAGAGGAGAACACGAGCCAGCAGAGTTAACACTATGAGAGAACGGAAGACAGTCAGGCCTAGTTTCCTTCTCAGGAAGGGCCCAGCACACCTCCCCACACATGTACATCCCATCCCATACAAACTCACTAAAAATTCTTGTGTTGAGATATTTCTATGCACAGATCCCATCCGATCACCCTGATCATGGTTTTATCTTCATAACTATTGATTTTTCACTGTGTCCATGAATTGAATCAATAAAGAGAACCTTCCACTGCACTGACTCCAACTAACTGTTGAGACAGTAAAACCAGAGAAACAGTGGCAGCGAATGCCTTTGACTTACCCTGGAGTAGAGGGTGTGAGAGCCTTCAAACACAGTTACATCCTCATGACCCATCAGTTCTGCTGCTTTTCACCCACTCACTTCTGCATGTTGGACTACGACTGATTAATCACCAACTGCCAAAGACAAAAATGAATGAATACATTAGACCAAAAGACCAATAACTTCAAGTCCCAAGCCACTGCTCAAGTGAATTTGTTAAAGTAGGCTGAGTGCTTAACATATAGACCCCAAAACATGTAATGGCTCAAATTAAAAAAACAACAACTTTATTCCTGGTTCTTGCATACATATTGGACAGGTGAACAGGTCAGTCAATGGAGTGAGCCTCCCTGTTCAGTGATCTCGGCACCCAGGCTGACAAAAGTCCTGCCATCTTTAAAACATGTTTTCCAAGTTTGCCCTAGGGTCCTCTCCACCCCAGCCTGTGACCTCAGGTTTAAAATACAGAGTTCTGGGTGAGACACTAGCATGGTAGCCCTGATTGGTTACTTAACAAAAGAGTCTTTGTTTCCTGACTTCCTTATCTGTAAAATACTCTGCTTCCCTCATTGACCCAAGGGGTCAGTATGAGACTCAAAAATGAGACCTAGCACCCTTCAGACTACAATGAGCAGGCAGAGCACCTGGCCTCTTGATAAAATGCAGATTCCGATTCAGTAGGTCCTGGGTGAAGCCTGAGATTCTGCATTTCTAACAAGCTCCCAGATACCAGTGCTGCTCTCAGACCATACTTTAAGTAGAAAAGAGATGAAGAACTAGAGAACGTTTTTCTAAACCACAAAGCGATTTTCAGATATAAAGAATTATTATCCTGGCACCGGCTATGATTATAAATGAATTCCCAACCAGCCAGCATGTTTAAGACATGTTTAGTCTAGGTTCCAAGGAAAATTTCACAGTCACAGGACTTAGAACTGCAAAGAATTTCAGTGGTCACTGCTCTTTCCTTATATTTTCCAGACAAGGAAGCAAACTCAGAGAAGTCCGTGATGTCTCCCAAATCTCACAATAACTCAGTAAACTGGGACCAGAATTCATAAATTTGACATCATTCTGTTATTACATAAACTCAATTGACAACAATCTTCTGAAGAAGAAAGGGTAATTTTTATTCTTCTTCTACATCAAGAACAAATACTACTCTGGCCCATATCTAAAAAGGTACCAGAAGGTGGCATTCACCAGCTCGGGTCACCATGGTACCAAATGTCAGCAACGTGTCACAGGACAGACATCAAGAGATGTTCAGGAAAATGATCTTCAAAATGTAGCGATATCCACAGTTATGCCTCACTTGTCCAAAAGGTGACTTGAACACAAATTAACTTCTGTATGCCTTCTGGGGAAAAACAAGAATTTTTATTTTCAACATATACAAATCCTGAGTCACTCCTATTTGGGAACAATTTGAAAAAGAGAGAACCTAGGAATCAAACAGAAAGGGAAATAAAATAATTAGTCAAGCAGGCGCAGTGGTTTCTGGGTAAACCCTAGGGATAAATAAAGGAACCCCAAGATGTTTTATCCCTGGCATGTAAATCATTTTGCATGTCTGAGATCATGGTGAGTCCTAGAAAGTAAAATGTTAGGGCCTCAGAAGTGAACGAGAGGAGTCAAAAGCTCTTAAGTCATAAGTCAGAAAGGCATTGATTTATCTGGAAATCAAACCAGATTGGGGAAGAAGGGAGGTTCTTAGTAGGCATGTCTAATAAAGTAATGTGAATTTAAAAATATTTTGGGAAATGAGAAGGAATACTATTGAGCAAGGGATGATAAATGGAAATCAATACTTACATTTCCATTATCAATTTAACATGGGTGAAATGCTATTGCTAGCATCCTCATTTAGTGAGCAATTTTGAACACTTTAATAAAGGTAAAATGTTCTAAGAAGTTTGACAGCTTACTTCTGTACTCCAACCCCAAACCCTCTTCCACCTTAATTTCTTTAGCACCTCAAAAATTCCCCCAGCCTGGCAATTTTCCAGAACCTACTGTAGAATTTTTACCTCATTTTGGTGCCACAGTCTCCTTTGGCAACCTGTGGAAGCCTAAGGACCTCCTCAAAATAATGTGTTAAGTGTATGGAGAAAATATGTATGATTACAAAGGAAGTCAATTATACAGAAATACTCTATCCACAGAGTCCTCAGAGGTCCAAGAACCCCACTTAAGAATATCTGATCAGGGAATAACTCTTCCAGGATGATGAAAGCTTTTTCTTATAGGGAATTTTATGCAGAGAAGTTTTAAAAACCCAAAGATGCATAGGAAAGAATCCTGCTCAGGATCAGTCAGTGAAGAAAAGAATGAGCTGCACAGAGAAGACTGACCTTGAATTTCTACCCAAACTCAACACTATTTGTACTGTGGCTTTAAAATCCTACACTAAGTAATTACTCAGGATTTTTTTTTTGCTCCAGCCCTGTACACACAATATATTCTGTGTACTGATGGCAGGCGAAGAAAGGCAGCATTGGAGAAGGGAAAACAGGCGAATCCTTGCTTGGTCCTAATTTTCTAACCAGTTCTCTGCCATTAACTAGCTCTATTAGCTTGGTCAAGTCACTCAGCTCTGAGTTGAAAGTCCCTGTCTATAAAGTGAGAAGGTTGAGTTTACCATCTCTAGGACTTCCTAAAACTCTGAATTATTAAGACTCTAAGATAATGCACAATAATTTCTCTGAGAAGAAATATTAGTGAGATTTCTTTTTGTCCTAGGTTCACAGTACGAAAATACATTCTAGATGAGAATTTTTCAGAGGCTTCAGAAATACCTTATGAGAATCACCTAGCCATAGAATTTTAGACTTGGAAGAAATTTTAAGAGCCATGTGGCACTTCACCAATCCCAGTGAGCAGGTGAGAAAACTGAGGTTCACAAAGGCAAGAAGACTGACTGGAGGTCACATAATGAGGCAATGCTAACAGACTGTTGTGACTACTGCCATTTAGCACGGGCAGCATTTTAGGATTAGGCATTGGAAGTATAAACCAGCTCATCAGTTCACTTGAAGAGAGACAGAAATAAACATCAAATAAGCTGAGCTATGGGAGAACTGCACGAGGAAGCAGGTGACTGGGGTGATGATACTCAGCAGCAGTGCCCTATCGCTCGGTCAGACGGGGTCAAAGCTGAGGCTCTCGTATGCACTGTAACATCACTGGCAACATCACCCACCTCCCTCAAATATCATGGCCACAAAGTCCATTTCAAAGAACAATCAATTACAAAGAATATAGAATAACTTTTTCAAAAGAGGGAAATGGGTGACATCTTCCGAATGACAGTTAGTGAACTCTGGCTAATAAGGTCAATAAAACCAAAGTTCAAGATTTGGATTGTTAATACAATCTTGAAAGGACAACATTCGTTAAGAATATCTAAAACTTAAAAAA